TACACCTCCCCTCTCACTCCCATCCCAGGCCCCAAGAAGACTTTCCATATCAAGCAGATGTTCACCTGCACATCTGCTAATGTGGTATACTGCATCCGCTGTTCCCGTTGTGGCCTCCTCTACATCGGGGAAACCAAGCGGAGTCTTGGGGACCGCTTTGCAGAACACCTACGCTCGGTTTGCACTAAACAACTGCATTTCCCAGTCGCGAAGCATTTCAACTCCTCCTCCCATTCCTCAGACGACATGTCCATCCTGGGCCTCCTGCAGTGCCACAACGATGCCACCTGAAGGTTGCAGGAGCAGCAACGCATATTCCACTTGGGAACCCTGCAGCCCAATGGTATCAATGTGGACTTCACAAGCTTCAAAATCTCCCCTTCCCCTACCGCATCCCAAAACCAGCCCAGCTCGTCCCCGCCTCCCTAACCTGTCCTTCCTCCCACCTATCCCCTCCTCCTACCTCAAGCCCCACCCCCATCTCCTACCTACCAACCTCATCCTGCCCCCTTGACCGGTCCGTCCTCCCTGGACTGACCTATCCCCTCCTTACCTCCCCACCTACACTCACCTTTACTGCCTCCATCCCCGCCTCTTTGACCTGTCTGTTTCCTCTCCACCTATCTTCTCCTCTATCCATCTTCTATCCACCTCCCCCTCTCTCCCTATTTATTTCAGAACCCCCTTCCCCTCCCCCATTTCTGATGAAGGGTCTAGGCCCGAAACGTCAGCCTTCCTGCTCCTCTGATGCTGCTTGGCCAGCTGTGTTCATCCAGCTCTGCACCTTGTTATCTCTGTATCCTGGGAGTATTGGATGAGGACAGTATAGACAGAACTTTAGCCTGTATCTAACTTTGTGTTGTAGCTGCTGGGGGTGTTTCGTGGAAAATTGTAGAAGGAGCTTTACTCTATCTTTATTTACTTTTTAATTCATTCAGATGACGTGAGCATCACAGGCTGGGCAGTGATGATGGCATTTATTGCCAGCACTAATTGCTCTAGCGAAGGTGGTGGTGAGCTGTCTTCTTGAACTGCTGCAGCCCATATGGTATAGGTACATAAGCAGTGCCACTGGGGAGGGTTTTCCAGGAATTTAACCCAGTGACACTGAAGGAATGGGGATAAATTTCCAAGTTGGGATGAATGGATTGGAGGAGAATTTGCATGAGAAGACCACCACCTGCATCTCATGCCCTTATCCTTCTGGATGGTAATGGTCATAAGGTTTGGAAGGTCCTGTCTAAACAATCCTGACGAATTTCAAAAGTGTGACTTGTAGATAGTACACGCTGCTGCTACTGAGCAGCGATAGCAGAAGGACAGAATATTTGTGGATGTGGTGCCAAACAGGATGCTTTGTCCTGGATGGTGTCAAGCTTTTTGAGTGTTTTTGGAGTTGCATCCATCCAGGTCAGGGAGCAATATTCCATCACACTCTTGACTTGTGCCTTGTAGATGGTGGACATGCTTTGGTGAGTGAGGAGGCAAGTTGTACACTGCAGGATTCCTAGCCTCTGATCTGCTGTTACTGTATTTGTGTCCAGTACAGTTCAATTCCTGGTCAATGGCAACCTCCACGATTTTGATACTGCATGATCTGGCAATGGTAATGCCGTTAAATGTCAAGGAACAATGGTTAGGTTCTCTCTTGTTAGAGATGGTCATGGCCTGAATGTTACTTAGCACTTGTCAGCCTAAACCTGGATATTATCAAGATCTTTTTGCATTTGGACATGGACTCTTTCAGTATCTGAGGAGTTGTGAATGGCGCTGGACATTGAGCAATCACCAGTGAACATCCCCACTTCAACCTTATGATGGATGAAGCAGCTGAAGATGATTGGACCTAGGACACTGATGTGCTGGGCAACTCCATCATTGAGGATGGAGACACCACTCTTCGTGACTAGATTTGGCAGGACTGTGGAGTTTAGATCTGATCCCTTAGTTGTGAGATTGTTTCACCATATCTATTGCATGATGAATGTGGCATCCAAGTGCTCCTGTTTGGTAGCATCACCAGGTTGATTCTTTATTTTTAGGTTTGCCTAGTGCTGTTCTTGGCATGACCTCCTGCACTCTGCATTGAATTAGACTGATCCCCTGGTTTGATGATAATATTGGGAGAAATATATTACCATAAGATTATTGATTGTATTCGAGTACAATTGTGCTGCTATTGATTGCTCAAGTGTATCATGGATGCCCAATCTTAAGTTGCTAGACATGTTTAATATCCATCCCATTTAGCACAGTATTGGTACCACACAACACAATGTAGAGTTGTCTCAATGTGAAGATGGGACTTTGTCTCCACATTGACTGTGTGGGTGGTTACTCTTACCGATACTGTCATGGACAGATGCACATGCAGGTGGCAAATTGGTAAGGATGACATCAAGTATCATTTTCCCCCTTTGGTTCCCTCACCACCTACCTCAGACCCAGTCTAGCAGCTCTATTCTTTAGGGCCTGACCAGTTTGATCTGTAGTACTGCAGCCAAGCCACTCTAGATGGTGGACATTGAAATTCTCCACCCACAGCACATTCCCTGCCTTTGCCACCCTCAGTGTTTCTGGGGATTTGGTACATGGTAATCTGCAGGAGGTTTCCTTGTCCATGTTTGGCCTGATGCCATGAGACTTCATGGTGCAGAGAGTCCTTGGAGACAACTCCGAGAATAACTTCCTGCTGACAGAATACCACTGTGCCACCATTACAGCTGGGTCTGTCCTGCCAGTGGGACAAGAGATACCAAGGAATGATGATTGTGGTGTCGAGGACATTATCCGTAAGGACAATTCCATGAGTGTGTCAGACTGTTGCTTGAATAGAAATAGCTTTCTCAATTTTGGCACTATCCTCAGATGTTAGTAAGGAAGATTTAACATGTCCAATAGGGTTGTGTTTGCCCTTGTCATTATCGGTGCCTATGCCAATGCCAGGCAGTTTCATTCCTTAACTCTTTTTTAGTGGATTTGATAGAATTGAATGGCTTATTCATATTGCTCTGGGTCTGGAGTCACATAGGCTAAGTTAGGTAAGGATGGCAATTTTCCTTCTTCGAAGAATATTTTAGGTGAACCCAGATGTGAACCAATGTGAAAATTGAAAAGAAAATTTAACATCTACCCTGATAGGATTTGAACACAGATCCCCAGAGTATTATCATCACTTGTTCAGCAACAATACCACAAAGCCACCATCACCTCCCCTGACCCTTTGCAGTAAAGTGGGCCAGAACTCCTGTTCCTTTCAATGAGCCTGGTAGACCCCTATTGTCTATCGACATGGCCACTTGTGATGATCAATTTATTCATATTTGTGTTTTTATCTTTCAGAAACTGAAAACTACACAAGAAAGGTAACTCCATTTTGACACTGACTTTCAATTTGTTTGGACTTGTCCTCATTGTCGACCTAACATTTAGCATTTAATTTCTGTTTCTAGAATTAAAATGGTAATCTCTGATCCCAGGGATGTGTCAGTAAAGATAAATGGTGCCAAGTACAAATTCCTGATGTTGTACAATTCCTGGAAAAAAATGGTCCATGAGATTGGTTTTAATACAGGTGAGGAAATGATTTACAAGAAACCATTTAGATTGTGACTGATATCACTGAAAACATGGTGTTAAGAATCTTCTCTTCTTTAATCCAGACTCCAAGTTTTACTTGATATACTTACATTTAAATCATCACAATATTCAGATCTACAGGGGGTCCCTGATTTATGAAAGCCTGACTTACAAATACAATCTCACAGAGGGGTGTAACTTTAACGATTCAATGTACAAATGGTAGGCTGTTGAGTAAGGTTGGATCTCAAAGAATCCAGGGAGAGCTAGACAACTGGGTACAAAATTGGCTGGGAGGTAGAAGTCAAAGGGTAGTGGTAAAGGGTTATTTTTCAGACTGAAGGCCTGTGACCAGTGGTGTGCCTCAGGGATCACTGCTGCATCCACTGTTATTCGTCATTTATATAAATGATTTGGATGAGAATTTAGGATGTATGGTTGGTACATTTGTGGAAGACACCAAGATTGGTGGTATAGTGGACAGTGAAGAAAGTTATCTGGTAATGATCAACTGGGCCAGTGGGCTGAGGAATGGCAGATAGACTTTAATTTAAATAAATGCAAGATGTTGCATTTTGGTATGGAAGTCCAGGGCAGAACCTAGTCAATGGTAGGACCCTGGGGATTGTTATAGAACAAAAAGTTCTAGGGGTACAGTTTTATAGCTCCTTGGAATTGGAGTCACAGGTAGACAGGGTGGTGAAGAAGGCTTCCAGCATGTTTACTTTCATTGCTCAGAGCATTTAGTATGGGAGATGGGATGTCTTGTTGCAGGTGTACAAGATGTTGGTGAGGCCACATTTGGAGTACTACGTGCAGTTCTGGTCGCTCTACTGTAGAAAGGATATTATTAAACTAGAAAGAGTGGAGAAAAGGTTTATTTGGATGCTACCTGGACTGGAAGGTTTAGGTTATAAGGAGAGGTTGGATAGCAGGGAGATTTTTCTCTGGAGCGTAGTAGACTGAGCGGTGACCTTATAGATAAGGTAGAAAGCTGATAGCCTTTCCTCATGGTAGAGGAGTCGAAAAAGGTGGGAGGGGAGAGATACAACTGCCAGATGGGCAGTTTTTTCACACAGAGGGTGGCGAGTGTCTGGAACAGGTTGCCAGAGGTAGTGAGGGAAGCAAGTACAATTTCATCATTTAAGAAACATTTGGACAGGTACATGGAGGGGATAGATATGGAGTGAAATGGACCAAATACAAGCAAATGGGGCTAGTTTAAATTGTGAAAACTGGGTGGCATGTGCATGTTGGGCAGAAGGCTCTGTTTACATGCTGTAGACCTCTATGACTCTATAACTCTAAATATTTCCTGTACTTACAAATGAATCCTTTACATCGTTCTGCATTGTGTTCTGACTTGTATACAAATTGATGTGTGATCAAACTCCAGAGCAGAACCTGGGGACCGCCTGTATTTGCAACAGCTCAGATTGTGGAACAATCCATGTCCCATATGCAGTAAGACTAAGACAACATACAGACATGGGTGGATAATTTGCATGTGACATTTGTATCACAGAAGTGCTAGGCAATTGCCATCTTCCCTTGACATTCGATGGAATTACCATCTCTAAATCCTTCACCATCAACATCCTAACACTGATCAGAAACTGAACTGGACCAAGCATAAATATGAAGATGGTTCACCAACACTTTGAGAAGTGCCAGAAGGGGTGGACATTAACTGCTGTCCTTAACAAAGACACCTGTATCCCAACTACAAATCTAAGTCATGTAATTTCCAAAAGTATTGGAGTGGACTTCGACTTTGTGTGAGAACATAAAACAGGAGATAATGTATCAGCCACTCGTTTTATATCAGTTCAGACATTTATTTTGGTTGACTACAATTGAAATAAAAACGCACTTCATTATCACTCATTTTGGCTGAAGGTACATGTGATGAGCAGCAGGAGAGTGGCACTGATTTTGTGGAAAACGGTTTAAGATCTGTGTAGGGAAGGGAGAGGGAGTATAGTCACACATTCTAACCATCATCTTTGGAGGGATATCCCTTTAAGGGATTAATACTCAAGTGAACCAAGTATGTGGATGTTGTCACAGAACTTTGGGCCATTGGCTCTCTGCATTGTAGCACTCAAGGTACTGGCTGTATCTACAGGTTACTCTTTGCTGTATGTAGTAGTTTAGCTGTAAGTAAAGCTACCAGAGATCTTTAACTCAAATGGGATCCATGTACCTCACTGGTGTTATATTTAGATATCGGGAGATTGGTTAGCTTGATTGGCTGGTTTGCGTTACAGTGTAATGTCAACACCATGGGTTCAATTCCTGAACTGGCTGAGGTTATGATAAAGGATACTCTTCCTTGCCCTTTTCTCTTGTCTGAGGTTTGGTGAGTCTCAGGTTAAATTCACCAACAGTCATCTCTCTCTCTCTCTCTATTGAGGGTGTGGTACTATACTGACTTTTGATTTGGATACTATAATACCAACTACCACTCAAACCTATCTCATGCAATGTCCTCATTGCACCTCCCTCATTGTCACCTCACTAGATTTTCTCCAGCCAACCATTCCCCATTTGCCATCACTCTCATTCCTTGGTCTTTTTGCCTCCTGGCAATGGGAGAGCGTGCAGAACCTGAAGGAGAAACAGAAGCTTCAGCCACCACTAGACCAACTATTGCAGATGAGGAAATTCAGGCCATCAGCAAAACCTCAGTGTCCCTGGCTGTCAGAGTTAAGGAAATGGGTGCCTTCCTGGTGACAGAATGAAATATCAAACTGCCACATGGCCTAAAATACTCATTCATTTTCACCCAGAGACTCACTGTGTTTGAAATGGATTCATGTGCATAATGATCGCGTTCCCTGACAGTTTTAATTCATGTCTTTGGTCTTTGTGCATTCCATAAAGGGCGCTGCAGGAAAATGTTAACGACTCCTCAGAGGAAATCACCTAAACTGAGGGGGCAGTGTCACAGAACTCATGCAGGTTATGCACTAACTTAGATACTCCCTGTTTGGTAAGGAGGATGGATGTTAACATGAACACTGAATGCAGATACTGGAGGCAGGGATAGTAATGGAGGATTGGAGTCAGAGGCTACACAACATTTCATTCTCACCTGAACCAGGAGGAGCCAATGATGAAGAGGATACTACCAGAGCAGCAGAAGTGATGGTGTGATGTCCTGGTAGGTGCTGCAGTTGCACTGTACTGCTATCAGGCAGAGACTGTGTTCTCACATAGCAGTGATGGCATGACCAGCTGCAAGGAGTGTTACACACAACAGTCATGTGTGCGCGTGGTGCGGACACTATCAACTTAAAGTAAATGATGACACCCCCAACCAAGGGCATCATCACCCCAATGAGGTGCAGCAGAGTACTCTCCAATGCACTGATGGCAGGGCAGTGCAATTGGCTGGTGAGAGTAACAAAAAACAAAGGAGCTATGGAAGTGGAGACTTTGGTCAAAAGTACTCCCTTCCTGTTGCTGCCCCTGCACCCTCACCCAGCAAGCAGCCTTCTGCCCTTGTGGCTGGCTGACACTAAGTCTGCACAGGGCAAATGGAGCACTCTTTATTAATACCACCCTCAGACTCCAGAACCCAAAGACCGCCTGAGCAATCCAAATAGGTATGGGTGCATTTTGCTCTTCCTCTGCTGAAACAGTTGGGGTGGCACTATGTAGAAAAGCCCGGAAGAGGAAGAGTAAAGATCTACAATTGCAAGGTCACATTGCTGTCTTGCACATTTGGACTGGGAACTTTCTGTGTTATTCTTGAACAGTCACTATTCCACATTGCCCATTTTTGATTGCCGCCAAGGAAATGGCCTTTTCATTTGTAATAAATGACTTGATGCTGAGTTGCACAGGGAGGTGTGTGCTGTAGCTGCAAAAGGCAGTTATAGTTATTTGCAGGACTGTTGAGTGTCGTGGAAAGAAAAGGAGTGGTAAGGAAAGGGAAGGGGGGGATATATAGTTTTTGTATTTGGTTTTATGGGTAGATTGGTGAAAATGAACCTCCTAAAAATGCAGTGCAGTGTGCACCACGACTTGTGCCTTAGCAACGTCACATTCACATTCCCCCTCCTTCTCAGAGGACCCTTTGCCTCTTTGCCTTGTTGTTTCTACTCCTGCATCAGAGAGGTGCTGTGCAGCATGCAGCAACCACCCCAAGTCTGGAGATCCTGTCTGCTGGGAGGTAAAGGGTACCTCCAGCTCTATGCAGGCACCAAAAGCATTCCAATACCTTGCTCAATAACACAGCACAGTGCTGCATAGCTTTCATCACATCAATCCTGGGCTCATTTACTCACTCTTTCCTGGTTAATAGCAATAGTCAATTCTCCTCATGTCATAACTCCTCTGTCTCCAGATTATCATTAGGCAGTGCTTGGAAAGAATGTGCTAAGTTAAGGACAGACACCACTAAAGGCAAGTCATTTTTGAAAAATAATAGTAGATTTTGTGAGCAGAACATTTTTTCAGACTGTCTCACCAAGATTTGTCTCACCAACCTGGTATTTGTAAAGCGCATTTAACAGCGTTCAATATCCCTAGACAGTGCAAGGAAATATTATCAGTTAAAATTGACAGGGGGTCACAGAAAGGCAGGTCAGAGGTTTGGCCAAGGAGCTGTTTTTAGGCTGTGACCTGAAGGAAGGCAGCGGTAGAGAGATTTGGGGGAACTAATATTACAGCTAAGAGTCTTACAGCTAAAAGCGTGGTCACCAAGAGCCCAGAAATAGAGGGATGCAGAGATCTCTGTGTTCTGGGGCTGGTGGAGATTACAGAGCTAGGATGGGGCTAAGGCCAAATAAGGATTTGAACACAGATCTTACTTGAAGATCCAGGTATTACTTGTATTTTTATAGTGCTGTTCATGACCACAGGGCATCCCACAGATCTTTATAACCAAAGACTTATGTTGAAACTGTAGTCACTATTGCAACGGAGGAAAAGCCCAGCAAGCCCCCATACACAGACACGTGATAACGATCAAATAATGTGTTTAGTGGCGTCAATTAAGGGATAAGTCTGGTCCAGGATACCTAGGATGACTCCCGTGCTCTTCTTTGTGATAGTGCAATGAGATCTTTAGCATCCACTGAGAGAGACAAAGCCTCAGTCGAACATTTCATCCAACACCTGGTATCTCTGAGACCACAGCTCTCCTCAGCCCTGCATCAGAGCATCAGTATTTTTTTTTTATATAGATAACAAGATGTAGAGCTGGATGAACACTGCAGGCCAAGCAGCGTCAGAGGAGCAGGAAAGCTATCTCAGTTCCTACTATCTCTGAATCAGTTTTTGTTTATGCTAGGTTCTGGTGTGGAACTTGAATATGCAAACCCCATAGCTCAAAAACGAGAGAGTTACTGACCGAGGCACAGTTGCTATATAAATGGCTTGATGTAGTGTGCCCCAGGGTCTAGAATTGCTGTCTTCTTTTTATTAATCATTAAGGGGAAGGCAGTAGACTTCTAATCCAGAATCTCAGCATAACATTCAGTGGGTTGAAATCCAACAATGGTGTAATTTGAATTCAATTAAAAACCTGGAATTATAAGTTAGCTCAACGGTGACAACGTAATCATTGTCGATTGAAGTAAAATTCAATCTGGTTCAGGAATGACCTTTAGGGAAGGAAATCTATCATGCTTACATGGTCTGGCCTACAGGTGATTCCAGACCTATAGTAATATGGTTAACTCTTAACTGGGAGGGTAGTAGATGCTGCCCCAGCCACTAATGCCTACATTACACAAACAAATCTTTAAAGTTACCTTGGGTACAAGCAACACCATCTAAAATTTAGCTGCTGACACATAAGGGGATTGGCTAGCAGTGAGGCAGATTGTAAAAGAAGGTAGCCAAGAATACCTGTCCATACAAGTTTGTCCAACAAAAGTCCTACACCAATCCAAGTAGTTTCCGGCAAACAAAATAGCCACAGTAATGCAGGGTGTGAGAAGTCAGAAAAGGGAGAAAAAGATAACTTTTGTGAAATAGCAACAGGAGCAACACTGGTACATGAATTATTTATTGAATCTGAAATATCTTTAAATGTGGTGGTTTTTATTTAATACGAAGGTAAAGTGTGATGTGCACATGGGTGAGTTTTATAACTAATAATCCAGGTTCAGAGGCAGATAAATCTACAAAAGCAAACTTCCTGAACTGGACAAATTTCATAATGTCAATTTAATAAATGGGCCATTTCCCTCTTTTCATTCAGACTGTTCTGTTTTCTGTTCTTCTACAGTGCCGTTGAGTCTAGATCCTGACACCGCACACTGGAACCTCCTAATCTTCGACAACTTGACCAGCATCGCGTACAGCCACAACCTGAAGAAACCACCCTCTAAACCCTCACAATTCAGTGCCTATCCCTTTGTCCTGGCCAAGCAAGGGTTCTCATCAGGAGCACACTACTGGGAAATCTTTGTGGGTTGCAAGGCTGAATGGGTCTTGGGGGTGACCAAGCAGTCTGTGGAACGTAAGGCACCGATCTCTCTATCACCTCAAGATGGTTTATGGATCCTGGAGAAAAAAAGCAAGCACTACGTGGCTCACTCCGTGCCCCGTGTGGTAATCTTTTCAAGGTTTAAACCCAGAAAAATTGGAGTTTACCTTGACTATGAAGCTGGGCAAGTGTCCTTTTACAATGCTGACAAAATGACACTGATGTATACTTTCAAAGATAGTTTCACAGAGACACTCTATCCTGTGTTTAGCCCAGGTGTTAATTTCACACCACTGAGAATACTCCACGTTAATCCTTGAAAGAGTGTGAAGTAAATGCAGTGACAAAAAGCCAGCAAACATTTGAAGGTGCCTGTGTGCCTATTGAAGATAATATAAACGGTGTCTATAAATCAGATTGCAGCAGCATGCAACTTGACTGGAAATATGCTCACATTTCTTTCACTAATCTGTTAAGAAGAAGTACTTTGTTTTTGCCTCTCTCTTTCTGCCCTTGCATCCCTGAAATCACTCCATACCTCTCACCTCTGACCCGGAGAGCAGGCAGGTGCCCTATCCCTCAGCTCTGTCAATGGCTTTCTGTCACAGCTATTGGGAGTCGTTCAACAAAAGTGAATGGCCTGACCTTCAGTTTCTCCACTTTGTCCAAAGGGAAGTGTCAAGCCTTGGACTGTTCTGTCCTCCTGGCATCTGACCGGAGATCAGGAAATCATGGGGTAAAGAATCACACGCACAAGCCAAGCACTTTGCATTCATTCTGTACCTATAGATCAGTTCTTCAAAGTGTCATTTCTCTTAATTTAGTATCTATTGGGCATCCTGTAGCTCCTGTCTGGAATACAGCTGCATAACATTAAACAAATGATGTCAAGCAATGAAAACCAGATGATGAATTTGATAACTTGTTACACATGAGTATTGTGGTTTGGATAATTGTATTATTTCAGTGCAACACTGATGTAGAGATAACATTTTAAAGTTGCTTTAATCAATAAAACATCCGCGCATGTCTACACTCAGCATCCTCCCACTTTGACCGTGACCATTGATTTGGCATATGGGACCATGTTCTGTTGCAGCTCATGAGCAGCATCATTCCAAACAGAACCGCTTATTGAATTCGTGTCAACCTGCAGGCACATCAACTCCCTTCACCTTGAATCATTTGTTTTGACTGGAATCAGTGCAGGCAGAACGTACAACTCCAGGTTAGCTCCCTGGACTGGACTACACCCAAGCCCATAAGCTGAAACTGTTAACTACCATACAATGACATATAATTTACTGCAAAATGAAAGGAAGCTTTTTGATTTGAAATTTCAAATGAATACTTATTGATATTTACTTTAATTTGGTTATTCAGCATCATAAGCAATAAACATTTCAAACACTTATCAGCCTTCCCCACTGGGAGTTGTTCTAAGCGACTATGAGTTTATTATCTGCATTACTATTATCACCTGAGAATTAGAATTAGAATTATCCTGGATAAAAAAAAAAGTTGTTCCAAAGAAGAATTTTGTGTCAAACCTTTCTTGCTGATTAAAAATGAATGCTCATTTGCTGACTGAATGACAGCTACTAATTTTGGGCAAAGGTTCTGAAATGGAACATCTGAGTCAACGACTGGGATTTGGCTGTGATAAAGCAGACGGTTTTGGAGGTGAGAGCTGCTGGGGGAGGGGGCATGCCGACAGATGTAAAATTGCAGGAGATGCATGTCCTCAACACACCAAGATGCAATGTCACAGAGGCACATGGTAACCTGAATGGGGGCTTTCCATGTAATTTCAAAATGAGTGATTGAAAGATCCCATGGATTGCAATGTACAAGTCAACATGGTGGGTGAGACCACCCTTTTACACTTGACACATTGTTTGATTTACCCTCTCAGCCACGATATGCTACATTCATGTCAATAGGCCACATTTTCACCCTACTAATGGACATCTTATTTCCTGGTACTCTATGACTGGGTATAGAGGATTGGGGAGGTGATGTGGGCTGCATTGTGAAGATGTTTGGGAGCATAAGTCATAATCAGATGGTGTTTAATGTGGATTAGTGTGATTTGTCCATTTTGGCTGGAAAAGTAAAAAGGCCAAATTATTATTTAAATAGGAAACTGATAGGAGGTACGTCAATGCAGAGGGATCTGGGCGTCTTTGTGTGTGAATCGTAGAAAATGGGTCTGCAGGTACAGCATATAATGAGAAAACCAAATGGAATCCTGACATTTATTGCAAAAGGACTGGATTTTAAAAGTAAAGAAATGTCATTACATTATATAAGGTGTTGGTGAGAGTACATTTTGGAGCACTGTGACCAGTTTTGATTTCTTTACTTGAGGAAGGAAGTGATGGTACTGGAGGCAGTTCGGTCTAGGCCCAAAACGTCAGCCTTCCTGCTCCTCTGATGCTGCTTGGCCTGCTGTGTTCATCCAGCTCTACACCTTGTTATCTTAGTTCAGAGGAGGTTCGCCATGTTGATTACAGCAATGAAAGGGCTGTTGTACAAGGAGCAGTTGAATAGCTAGGGCTTGTACTCACTGGAGTTCAGAAGAATGAAGGCAAATCTGAGTGAGGTTTATGAAATGGCTAAAGGAAATTGATAAATTGGACATTGAACAGATGTTTCCCGTTGTGAGACAGTCTCGAACAAGAGGACATAGAGTGAGAGGAGGTAGGTTCAAAACTGAAATGAGGAGAAACTACTAAATCTGGGGAACTCACTGCCGGAGAATGTAGCGGAGGCAGAATCAATCAATAGATACAAGAAAGAAATATGTTTCTGATGAAGAGTGAGATAAAGTGCTATGGGAAGCAGCAGGAAAGTGGAGTTGAGATCAGAATAAGATCAACCACGATCATATTAAATGCCAGAGCAGGCTCAAAGGACTCCTATACCCACTTAGAGCAGACCATATCTCCCCTGTGACAAACAACAAAGCTGGTGATCACCCTCTCCCATACCCCTGTCTGGCCATTCAGTTTTACGCTGTGTATGTAGAAGAATAATTTATGGCTTTAAAGGATGATTAACTTTCAACATTCATGGTACTTAAGAAAATTGATGTAGTGATCGGAGTCAATTAATCACCACCACCTCTGGTTGCTAACCATTTTTACTCTCCCTCCCACTCACTGGATGACATGTCCACCCTGGGCCTCCTCCAGTATCACAATGACCCCAGCCGCAAACTGGAAGAACAACACCTCATATTCCGCCTCAGGAACCGACAGCCCGATGGCCCGAACATAGAATTTCAAGATCTCCCCACCCTCAGCCTCATCTCATGTCCAACCCTTCCTCCTTGACCTGACCCTACCTGTCCACCTTCTTTCCTACCTATCCACCCCACCCATCCCACTGACCAATCTTCACTACCTCCTACCCTGCATCCAACCTATCACCATCCCACCTACCTTCCCCCAGCCCCACCCCTCCTCCCTCTATTTATTTCCCAGCTCCCTTCCCCCTCCCCAGTCCTGACCCAAAAAGTTGACTCTCCTGCTCCTCTGATGCTGCTGACCTGCTGTGTTCCTCCAGCTCCACACTGTTTTGACTCTGAAGAAGGGTCACCAGACCTGAAACGTAATCTCTGATTTCTCTTCACAGATGCTGCCAGACCTGCGGGGGTCAATAGTGTTGAGCAAGGGATGGAATGTTGGAAGTCACAAGGATTACCTTCATTAGACTTAAAGGGAATGAGTGACAGACAGAGTGAGATAGGAGAAAAGTAAGAGAGCGAGAGTTGGGGAAGAATGTGAAACTTTGGTTATTTACCCTAACCACACCCCTCGTGATTTTATAAGTCTCTATAAAGGTCACACCTCAGCCTCTGCTCAAGGGGATAAAAGCCCCAGCCTTTTCAGCCTCACCCTACAGCTCAAACCGTCCAATCCTGGTAACATCATTGTAGATTTTTTCTAAACCCTTTCAAGTTTAACATTTTTCCTAGAGCAGAGAGACCAGAATTGAACGCAGTATTCTAAAAGTGGCTTCACCAGTGTCCTATACAGCAGCAACATAACACTGGCCTAATGCCTTCTCCACCACTCTGCCTATCTGCGACTCCACTTTCAAGGAACTATGTACATGCACCCCTAGGTCACTTTGTTCAGCAGCTCTCCCCAGGGCCCTACCATTAACTGTATAAGACCTGTCCTGGTTTGCCTTACCAAAATGCAACACTTCAAGTTTTCTTGAAGCTGCATTCATCCAGTCAAGTGGGGAGTATTGCATCACAATCCTGACTTGTGAATTAGACCATAAGACATAGGAGCAGAAATTAGACCCATCGAGTCTGCTCTGCCATTCAATCATAGCTGATAAGTTTCTCAACCCCATTCTCCCGCTTTCTCCCCGTGACCCTTGATCCCCTTGACAATCAGGAACCTATCTATCTCTGGCTTAAATGTAATCAATGACCTGGTCTCCACAGCCTTCTGTGGCAGTGAATTCCATAGATTCACCACTCTCTGGCTGAAGAAATTTCTCCTCATCTCTCCTCTAAGGGGTCTTCCCTTTACTCCAAGGCTGTGCCCTCGGGTCCTAGACTCTCCTACAAATGGAAGCATCTTCCCAACATCCACGCTGTCCAGGCCATTCAGTATTCTGTAAGTTTCAATTAGATCCCACTCTTCCTTCTAAACTCCATGGAGTATAGACTCAGTCTTCAAACATTCCTCATATGTTAAGCCTATCATTTCTCAGATCATTCTTGTGAACCTCCTCTGGACCCGCTCCAGGGCCGGTATATCCTTCCTGAGGTATGGGGCCCAAAACTGCTCACAATATTCTAAATATGGTCTGACTAGAGCCTCAAAGCCTCAGAAGTACATCCCAACATTGTATTTGCCCTCCTAACTACAGACTCAACCTGCAAGTTTCTCTTATGAGAATCCTGGACCAAAACTCCCAAGTCCCTTTGCACTCCAAATTTCTGAATTTTCTCCCCATTTGGAAAATAGTCTATGCCTCTACTCTTTTTACCAAAGTACATGACCTCACATTTTCCCATGTTGTATTCCATCTGCCCCTTCTTTGTCCACTCTCCTAACCTGTCCAAATCCTTCTGCAGCCTCCCTGCCTCCTCAATACTATCTCTCCCTCCACCTATCTTTGTATCATCTGCAAACTTAGCCAGAATGCCCACAGTTCCTTCATCTATGTCATTAATGTATGAAGTGAAAAGTTGTGGTCCCAACACTGACCCTTGTGCAACACCACTAGTCATCAGAGAGTAGTAAGGGCATGGAATGCCCTGCCTGCAAAAGTAGTAGACTCGCCAACTTCA